CCAGAATTCCCCAGCCAGCATTCGCTGGCTGGGGAATTCTGGGAGTTGAAGTCCAGACATCTTCCAAGTGGCCAAGGTTGAGAAACACTGCTCCAGATCACGGTGGTCCCAAAAGGGGGTCCCTCTCCTTCAAAAGGCAGCTGGGTTTTGTTTTCAATCCAGCTGCCTTTTTGGAAATTTAACAAAAACGAAACCACCCTTGGGATCCTCCCTTGAGATCCTTCAGTGATCTTGAATGCATGGGGGTGGGTCCTTCTGCAGATCCGCCCCCTTTTAAGGAAGCGGGGGGGGGGGTTTGCTCTTTAGTTGGTTTTGCCCCTCCAGGATCCTCACAAACCAAGACCAGGGCAGTAGCCTAGAAAAGCAGGACTTTTAAATCAATTGTTTTAATTCAAACCAATTAATTTAATTTTAACACGTTTAAATAATTTAGATCAGTTACTCAAGGAGGAAAACTGAAAGTTAAAAAAAAAAGAATCCCCTTCTCTCTATGCTTATAAAAATAAAGGCTATTGAAAGCGAAAGTTTTCATCCTTTTCCAACACAGTGAGATGGGCCAGTGTTTTTCAACTGTCTGGGGAATCCTGGGTGCTGAAGCCCACCCCTCTTAAAATTCCCACCACCACCACCACCATCAGCCTCTCCTTAAAGGAGAAACTTCCTGACAGTGAGAACCATTAATCCGTGGAACAACTTGCCTCCAGAAGTTGTGAATGCCCCAACACTGGAAGTTTTTAAGAAGAGATTGGACAACCATTGGTCTGAAACGATAGGACTCAAAGACCTCTAAGGTTCCTTCCAACTCTGTTATTCTGTTAATCTGTTAAATTGCCAAATTTGAAAAAGAAACTGGATTAGATGGAGAGGTTGAATTCATTTTTCCTAGTTTGGGCATCATCCACAGAATCTGCTTTGAGATGTTGGGAGTTTTATATTTGGCACAACTTGCCTTGTTATTACCTTGTGGTGTTGGCCCTTTGGCTGGGAGAACTGATGTGGGACACCCAACATAAACTCATTTTACGTTTTCTTTTAACAAAATGTGCCCTTAACTTAATCTATGTACCCGTGATAATCATCGGCGTTTTATGTGACTTTTAAACTTTCTGCATGCTTTGCTGTGATTCATGAGCCATAAAAGCCACCTTTGGAAGCGGTGATCATAGTCACATTTAACACGAAGGACGGCTTCACACAACATACAAAATCCTTCCCCCTCCCTTTTATACTACGGTGTTGTATTAATATGGTATGTATTAGAATTCAGCTCCCTGAATTCATGTCATACAAATTTGAAACTCTGGCGTCCTTGGTGCTTCTGAGTTTGGTTCTTTGCTTGCAAATGTTTTGTTATCCTAGGTAACATCAGCGCTAGTCAATGTGGTTTTGGCTTCCTTTTTATATACAAAAGCTTGGCCTGCTGGTGTTGGTAGGATTGTGGTTTTTCTCCTTGATATTTGCCCTGATTAAAGTATGGTTTTCTGCTTGATGGTTTGTCTAGTGTTAATCCCTGCTTATCTGGCTGTTGTTTGCTAGAGAGCATGCATTCCTCTCTTTCTGTTCCCTTTGCTTTTCGGTTGTCTCTTTTGAGTGGTGGGTAAATGTGGTTTATCTCTATGTGCCTGTCGATAGCTGATTTCCCTGAGTCATATAGGCTTCGCAGAATTCTCTAGAATTTTTCGATTTGCTTGGTCTAGAATGTTCGCAGTTTCTGTTAGGAAAGTATGGTTGGAGTCCGTCTATCCGTTGCGAGATTAAGGAGCTTTTCATCATTTCTTCTGATCGCTAGTTGGTGTTCATGGATGTGATCTGCTAGTCTTCCTCCTGTCTGCCGTACGTACATAAATGTTGGGCTCAGGGGTTTTTTTTCCTTTGGCTTACTTAAGCTGTTTTGGAGAGCTTCGGCTGGTTTGTGTGCTGTGGTTTGTGCCAAGTGGTTGTCATAGCCTGGTGAATGTTTCTGATACATTTCTGAAGTTTGGTAGCGTTTCCCTTTTCACATCTTGTGTCGGTCATGCTGTAGTGGGTTGTGTGGTCAGGCACATTTTGATAAAGCCACGTGGACATTCCTTCTGTTGGAAGACGTTGTATAATTGGTCTTATTTCTTTTTTCTGTTGTTCTAGGTGGCTGCAGCGAGTTTGCAACTCGTCTGAAAAAATGTTCTGCCACAGTTTATCCTGTGGGAGGCTGAATTGTTACTTTGGTTTTTCCAGTCCGGTTGTAACTTCAAACAATCACTAAGTGAAATGTCGCAAGTCGAGAACTACCTATATTTTAACATTCTCTTTCTGCTTTTGACCGTAGCTGCCTTGAGATATACTTCAAAGCCCACTCAGAAATCTCTTTGGAGGGAAAACCCAGGAGAGGAATCGCTAAGCTGACTTCACCTTCTCCCTTCCCCCTTTTCCCATCCTCCACGGCCCCAAGATGGCTTCCGACAGCCCAGAGTCGCTGATGACTTTGTGCATAGATTATTGTCTTCACAACCTGGAAGGGACTCTCTGCTACTTGCTGGACAACGAGACTTTCCGCCTCCAGACGGATATTTTCCTCCCAAGCGAGATCTGCGACAGGCTAGTCAACGAGTAAGTTACAAATGTTGACGTTTTTCTCTGGCTTCCGGTGGGTTGCCAAGATCCCCAGGGCATCTCTGCCTTGACGCCGGTTTGTCTCTTTCTTCCCCAGCTACGTGGACCTGGTAAACGCAGACACCTTGTTTGAGCACAACGAAAACTTTTTTAGTCTCTTTTCGGATCCCCGGAGCACTCGGCTCGCCCGCATCCACTTGCGAGGCGACATTGTCCAGGATCAAGACCTGGAGGCCATTCGGAAGCAAGTAAGGGACCCGTCCTTGCCCGCCGTGTCGGAAATCTCTTTGTAGCCCCTTCCCGTTGCAGAGTGTGTCTTAAGTTGAGAGCGTTGGCTTCTGGTGATGAGAAACCAGGAAGATTTTATCAGTGGGTCCCTTGGTGCTTCCTCCTCCCCCCAAGGCCGTCCCCGCAGTCCATTTTCACCCATCTATTGGATAACGGTGTTTGCATGGATGCTCCTTCTCTAGGCATGCTTCTTTGAAATCCTAGATTGGGTCTTCTGTAAGACATGACAGCCCCTTAAGAAGGCCTGGCTTGAGCCTAGGTAAGGAAGCAGTTCTTCCCTTCATCCCCTACGGTCCTCCTCCCGTCCCTTCATGCTCCCCTTTGCTTCGTTTGCAGGACCTGGTGGAGCTTTTCTTGACCAACTGCGAGAAGCTGACGGCCAAGAGCCTCCAGACCCTGGGCAGCTTCAGCCCCACCTTGGTGTCGCTCAGCCTCTTCGGCTGCACCAACTTCTTTTACGAGGAGGAGAACCCGGGCGGCTGCGAGGACGACTTCAACCCCAGCCGGCAGGTCTTGGTGAAGGACTTCACTTTTGAAGGCTTCCGGCGGCTGCGCTTCCTCAACCTGGGGCGGCTGATGGAAGGGATCAACGTGGAAAGCCTCCTGCGGCCGCTGGCCTCCCTCACCGCCCTGGATCTCTCCGGGATCCAGCTCAACGACATCCACTTCCTGACCCAGTGGAAGGACAGCCTCGCCTCCTTGGTGCTGTACAACATGGATCTGTCCGAGGAGCACATTCAGGTGATAGCTCAGCTGCGGAAACTCAGGTCAGTCTCTCTGGAAGAATTGCTGCGTTTTTTTTCAGGTAGGGGAGGAGAGAGAAAAACAAGAAGAAGGAGCGAACGGAGAACAAAACAGGAACGAATAAGCACCAGAGAACGAAATAAGACCTTTAGAGAAGGATTTCCAGTAAAAATAAGTAATTTTGTGGCTCATACGCATCATTTTATGCATGCAATCGTCATTAGAATCAGTATGTCAGGGTTCCAAATAGCATCCAAAAGTAAATCAGAGTCCGAGGCAAAGGATTCCTCAAAGTTCTAATGTATGAAGAGAGCCATGTTGGCACATCTGGGGAAACCCGAATCTGAAAGCTTCCCGGTTTCCCCCATCCAGTTGAAAGTTCAAGATCCTGCCCACCACACCCACAAGTCCATCCCATGGTCCAATCTCCCACTGCCACGCTGGCAGATTCCACCCATCCTGATCAGGTGCAGAGGTGCAAAGACAAAGGATGACCTTGGCTTTCTAGAAAGAATGTTGTTATGGCTACATAGCATCTAACTCCATACAATCCACCCTCCCATTTTCCCACCATAGAAAAAATGCATAGTCGAATAATAGAAAGTGTGTCAGGCCAGAGACCCAAAAGAAAAGATGGCTTGCAGGACACATCCTGTGCCAGACATTTTTTTTCTCCCCTCCCCTCCCCCTCCTGGTCAGCTGCCATGCCATGTTTGCTGGTGCTTCCTTACTATTTGGGGTGAGACTGCCATGAATGTTGGGGCGGGGGGGGAGACTTGGGGGAAATTGAAAGTAAGCATTGAATCTCCTCAAGAGGCTGCTTCAAGGCCACCCAGCAGCTTATAGGTTATAGGTTTATTTCATTTTTATGCTGCCCTATTCCCAGAGGGACTTAGGGCAGCTAACAAACCCGGGGGGGTGGGGGGTGGTACAGACAAGACAACACAACAAGCAGATACAGACAAAACAATTTTTAAAAACAATCAACAGTCACACAATTCGAGCGGGGAAGGGAACTCGTCACCCCCAGACCTGCCGGAACAGCCAGGTTTTAAC